GTTTTGTAAAAATCGACGCGTTTCAAAAAGGCGGGGCATAGAGGAGAAACAATAATGTACAGTATGTGGAAAATAATGTGTTTTTTGAACTTTAAACCGCATAAACACATTTCATTACACCAAATACACAAAATAATGTTCTTTTTAGCAGCATCATATGACCCCTTTAACACTGCTCTGATTCATTGTTAAATTATTTGCCTATATGCCTATTACTCCCTTGTACGACTGACAATTGTTAACAGTTTTAGTTACATTAGAGTTACATTACATCACTGTTGAGGTCTATTGAGCGAACCAGTAGCCGCACAAACCTTCAGCTCATCAGCGTCATAAAAGTTGACATGAACGGCCGGCACCATCCAGGTGTGGAAGAGATCAGCCAGGATCTTCCGAGCGATGGAGTCCGTGATGAAATGGAAGTGGAGAGGGTTCCGTCTGACACACAAAGAGAACAAACATTTCCTGTCATTTAATATTGACTTATTCACCCAAAAATGAAAATTCTCATATCATTTATTCACTTTTCATTACTTTTTATTATATACAAAAAGACAGGATATTCAGAAATTCACCTACTATGCCAAAAAGGTCATTAGTTTGAAATATCATTAGGAATAAAATATATCATTGTCATTGCTGGCTGAACTCTTGCTTTTATCCTTACAAACTAGGATGAGTGTAATACTGGCACCACAATAAAACCACAACAGCACAGTAAAGTAATTTGACTGCATTTGATAAAACAGTGAAAAGTCATTTTATACACTGCATTACTGGAGGGTGTATAAGCAGAGAGCAGCATATCAGTAAAGCTGATGATGAAATCTAATTCTAGCTTTACTACTTTTTACACTGCATTGTAGAATGAAAGAAATTTCAGTCTGACCAATAACACTTTACAAAGCACTTGGACACTCGAGCTCTGTTCAAAAACTTACGGAGCTACATTGCTGTCTAAACATGCAGCAACCTCCTAAGGCAGCATCCTAGCTGAATACTGCTCACTGTAGGGAGCAGTGAATATCCTGTGAATGTGGACAGCCACAGACTCTAAATTTACCTGTGAAACAGAACTGACTTGACCAAAGTGACAACATCTCTGCTCGCATTGTACCCCGCACACACAATGGCAATATGAATGGTCTGTGATGAGAAAGACAAGTAGTAATTAGAACAGTTTGAAGCAGCATTGATGCGTTCAGTGTCGCACCACGAGCGGCCCGAGGGGGCCTGGCAGAAAAAGAGCCACTTCAGTCCCTGTACCCCCTTCACCTTTCCGATTTCTACCGAGGGGGGAACCCCCCCAGAACACATTTTCTACCGAGGTCCCCTCTGGTGCCGACTCTGTATGCAATACATACATTGCAGTTCACAATTTCAAAATATGACACTACAATTTTATGAAATCACATCTTATTCAAATTCACAAAGTAGGGAAATGCCAATGAACAGAAACTGTTTTCTGGAAAGAAAATTAAGACATAATTCTAGGTTGCTATACAGTTTCTAGGGTTTCTCAATGGTTGCTAGGGTGTTATGCCGTTGTAGAGTGTTCTGGGTGGTATCTGTGGTGTTGTCTGGTCACTTAGTTAAGTAACAGCACATCTCTTCTCAACAAAACATATGATTTGAGGAAGCTGAGGATGTCAGGGTTAGAGTCTTGATAGTGTGTGAATCTGTTCAGCGTAAGGTCCTGATTCAGGATACTAACCTCACATTTGTTCACCACAGGCTGAGGCACACAGTCCGAGCTGTTGCCCGAGGCAACTCCTTTTTTAGCCTCGCTATCACCTGTACCCTCTTCTGTGGAATGGGTGTGTAACTGGTTGCCTTGGCGACTGTTGCCATGATGGCTGCTATGTGTTGGAACCCTGGGTGGCAGGCTAATCTCTCTCCGCAGCGCATGGTTATGTTCTTCTGCATCTCGTAGCTGCAGCTCCAAATCCTGATGCTCAGCAGCTGCTCCGATCAGCACAGATGACTGAGGATCCAGCGGCGACAGAGGCAACGGTTTGACTGAGGGGAAAACACACAGACAGTCGAGGATCACTAAACATCTGTACAGCAAACCACAACTACTGCACTAAATCTGTTAATTAGAGGTCGACCGATAGTGGATTTTACCGATACCGATAGCTAGGTTAGACCACACTGGCCGATACCGATTAATCAACCGATAGGTTTTAAAATGGTAAACGAAAACTAAAACAGAGCTTTACTATTTTTAAAAAAGCAGTAGCAGTACTGAACCATACTTTGTAAATGAATAAACATATTAATATTAATTATTATATTGATCATTAAAGTTATTTCATAGTTTACTAATGTTAAAAAAGAAACTTTAAAATGTAAAAATATAGCCTATTAGTAATAGTAAATGTTGAAATGAACACACTAGGAACAATACTTTTACAGCTTTCATTAATATTACAAAAGGACTCTTACTGTAAAGTATTACCATTTAATTTCAACAGTCATGCTTAAAGATGGCCATCTTTAAATATCTACACAAGGCCATAGCATTAAAATTACATACATATGTTATTGATATTGTATGTGTACTCTCACACTTTATTTGCTTCTATTTTAGAACACTGCATGATTATCTAATCAAAATTTTAAAAAGAGAAACAAGTCAC